GTATAACCAATTAAATAATATATACCATAAAACATCTTAAGTTTTTTTATGTTGTACAAGGTAAAATGGCCAAATCAAAGGTTAGTTTGTTTAGCTTCCACCAACACAAATGCAAATTGTAATTCACTGAACTGAAAAAAGATTTCAGCTTGTTTTATGATCAAACCAACAAAATGACAATTAAGCAAAGATACATTTGAGAAGAATAATATTGTCCATCAAATGACTGTATCTGCTTGTATACCATCATAGCATTAATTACATGTCTTTTTATTCATTCATATCTATTATTACACACRCACATCTGTAGATCCAGCGGACAGAGGATGCTGTCAGAATTTGTCCCGACATTACAGATCGTCTGCGGCTTCTGGAGCAGGAAGTGTCCCGCTACAGAGAGGAGTCTCRGAAGTCCGAGGCTGAAGTTGAGAGGCTAAAGGGGGCTCTGAAAGATTCTGAAATGGACAAATCATGCAAGGAGAAGAAAACCGCTGATTTTGAAAGGTGAGGCTCAAAACGTCTGTGCCGTTTGTGTTTATCCTCAGTACACCATCTGCATGTCCTCGAAAGCTGCTTTCRTCCAAATGAGCAGATTTCTTTCAGAACTCAGCTCCTTACAAAGTGCTCTATTTATGAGCAAAGTAATCTATGAGATATAAACTGTCCCTGTTGTATACTCATACCACTTAAAATCACTTCTACTTCCTTGTGCTTTTTTGCCTTTTGCAGTCACTATCTGGAAAATTTTGTGGACTTATTTACATACACCATTTTAATCAATGGACTTTATGTCTTGTTTGTTTTTGTTTGCCTGCAGTCCTGAGTAAGTAGATATTTAGTGTGTCTGTTTACCATACCTTCAGAATACTGTAAACCAGTGGTTCCCAACTTATTTTCCTCAAAGCCCCTACTTTCTTACTTCCAAGCCAAGCTGAACCACTCCCTGCCCTTGCTACCCTCTCCCAAAAACGTGTTCAACTTTTATCTTTGTATCAAAATAATAAAATAATAAACTGAATAATTACAAACCTTTATTTAGAAGAGGAAAACATAGTAGACCTGGTTTATATAAATATCAGGTTGGGAACCACTGCTCTAAACTGTATCAGTATTCTTATATGAAATCATCCTGTGTCTGCTGGCTTAACTATAGTTAAAAATAAAGTTTAGAATATGAGTTTTCCTGATCATCAGAAAGCTCATGTTTGACTGTTCCCAAAGGTAAATGTTTCAAGCCATTTAAAACAAACCACTCCAAGGTTCATCACTGTGACATTAAAAGCCCAATTGGAGCCTTTTTGTTGTCATAAACACTGCAAAGACATGACCAGGCTTTGTGTTTACTTTTACAAAAGCATCTTCTTCTTCACATTTCACTGCTATCAGCACAGCTCATATGAAAATAACTAAAATGAACTTGAACAATGGCAGTTTGTGGGATGTTTTTGTTTGTACCTTTACATTACTCTGCGTGTGTGTGTGTGTGTGTGTGTGTGTGTGTGTGTGTGTG